GAAGTAAAACCATTCAGTTTTGAACTTTTGAACAGTTCCTGAAGTAGAGGTTTCCTATACCTTTGATAGCTGATTAATTCATTTGTTTTGTATTGCTTATTCTTTTTGGAAGCAAGTGGGATGTTAATGTGCTAGAAGACTGGACTCTTGCCTATTATTAGTCAGATAAAACCTATAGAGGCACACAGAAACAGGCTTAGGAAATCACACACCATGTTACTGGGTTAGATATTCCTCTAACTCTCCTTGTATAAACCTTACAGCATAAAACACCCTGAATTTCATAAATGGCTCATAGTATACAGCAAAGACGGCACTTTAGATTTGTATGTTGTTTTAGAGGTACAACAAATGTCTATTATTTAGGGACATGAAGGTTTGGAGTCAGACAGATTTGGCTCTACAACCTGCTAAGTGCAGGACTTGTCATATTCCCTCTGTGCATTTTAATTTCCTCAACTCTACAGTGGAACAAATTCCTTATGACATTTTTTTGAGGGGGGGATCAATTGTTACCATTGAGATGAATCTACACTTATAAGGCAGATCACGCATGCTTAGCATTTAGTTAATTTGACCATCGTAATTTGCTATGAGATAAAGGTAGCAAAAGCATTCAATAAATCTTAATTCTTAATATTATTGGGATTTTTTTTGAGACAGGAATATCCTATGTAACACAGGCTGGTCTCGAATTTGCTATGCAACTCAGACTGGTGTGGAATTAGCGATCCTCAGCCTCCTGAGTGCTGGGATCACAGGAGTGTGCCACCATGCCTGGCTCAGTGTTATTCTTACCCCTGAGACTCTCATTAACCCACTGAAGTAGATAAGGAATACTTTTCCCATTATATAATGGAAAACAGCCAAATTATGTGTTTTTTGTTTACTATCACTTAGCACTGCAAATGTAAGAACTGAGGTATAAATGTAGGTTTTCTGGTTCCAAGTCAGTATGCTTGTCTGAATAATTCTCAGGCAAAGCGATTGCATCCAAGTAGATCTTTGGGTAGTCTTATGTTACAAACCATTTCTATTTCTTTGAATAAAGCTGTTGGATTCTCATCAAGAAGCATGACAATGCACGGAACCCTGGGGTAGGATTAGGAGTTGTCAGGAACAAGCAGAGAGGACATGCCCAGTGAGTAACTGAGGTAGATTTGGATGGATCTGGGAGCTGACTCGGTTCTGTAGCCCATTCCTACATGGGGAGAGTGCAGTTTACAGGTAAGTGTAGGGACATATGTGCAGATGTTCTCCAAACTGTTCAGTGTGAGGTACAATGCTAAGCTGAGAAGGTTCCCGTACTGTGACTGCCTACCTTCCGTTTGGGCACTCTTTGACCTGTTTCCCATTCAAAGACCAAGAACCATATCTATTAACCTGCATGTTAGGTGGCATATAATTCAAGCCTCTAAAACACTCCAAACTTCTCTGGAAAGAAGTGCTGTACATATTGTTCTTCAAACCCAGCCCCAGCCTTCCCAGAGTCCCTGCTCTGTATTACATAATGGCTAAGCACTACTGCAGTTTCATGGAGCAAACAGTGATTTGTTGATATTGTGTTTTTCTGGAAAACAGCCATATAACCTTCAATACCTCTGCTGTTCTGATTCAGTCGTCAGGCTATTTAAAATGCTTGGCTGCTGTATTGAGACAAAGCTAGAGTTAATGTGAATAATAATAGTAATGACCTTCAGTGGCTAAGGTACTAAGAAGAGGGGAAACTGCGCCAGGTTGGTTATTGCCTTTCAGACCTAAGCCCTTAACCTAGCTGGTTGGATAATTAGGATGAGTTCTGTCTACTTCATGAGGTAGTTGTTAGAATCGAGTGTTGTGACAGGAATTTTTAAAATACTCCCAAGAAGGAGCTGGAGAGATGGCTCAGTGGTTAAGAGCACTGACTGTTCTTACAGAGGGCCCAGGTTCAATTTCCAGTACCCACATGGCAGCTAACAACCATCTGTAACTTCAGTTCCAGAGGAATTCAACCTCCTTTTCTGACCTCTGTGGGTACTGCATGGCAAGGGTGAACTTAATACATGCAGGCAATACATGCATACACATAAAATAAGAATAATAAAATATTAAAAGAAAAAAATAAAATACTTCAAGAATATTCAAGTATTAATAAAAATAGTAATGACTTGTTGGGAGCATGGTAATTATTACTAAGTCATATAACCCCAAGCCAGAGTTACTTTAAACCTTGATAATGAAAATTAGATTCAGTGAATGTGATACTCACAAGGAAAGAGAAAACTCAAAGGAGGAATTTACTAAAGCTGTCCGAGGACCTTCTTATTGAAGTTCTCTCTACTAAGTTTCCTAAACCTTACAGCACTTTGTGAAGACTCAAGGTACTGGAGCTCAGTTCCACAGCTGTCTCGTGTACTGTGTCACATTAATACAATGTCAGTAATTACTAACTATCAAATTCTTACCACAAACTCACAGGGATCTATGTTTTATGAGAATCCTTGCATTTAGTCTTTCACATTCTCTGGTGGAGGAAATTGAATCAGTTAGGTGAATCCTTGCACTGAGTAATGGCGCAGTTGACTCTAGAGACAGCACCCTGAACTTCCATACTGTAGCATCAGGAACTAGATGTTGAGTGAATGGATGATTGTGGAGATGAAAGTAGGTGATTGCTGGGGCTGGAGAGATGGCTCAGTGGTTAAGAACACTGGCTGCTGTTGTAAGAACCCAGGTTTGGTTCCTAGCACCCACATGACAGCTAACAACTGTGTGTAATTCCAGTTCCAGGGGAATTTGACACCTTGTTCTGACCTCCAGGCACATTGCATGACACAGGTGCATTTGCATGCATACAGGCAGTACACCCATACACATAAAATAAAAATAATAATAAAGAAAGTAGGTGACTGCTGATTACCTGAAGGCAAATCTGCCTCACCCTGCATCTTGCTTTCAATGCCTCGCCAGCCATCTCAGCACAGATGGTTGGCATCATGACCTTCCTGTTGGCTCTTGTATTCCTTGCCTCCAGCGTGTGTAAAGTAAAAGGGGGGAACCAGCATGTCTAATCACCTACTTACCTGGAGAATGTGAACCTGAATAATATGGAGCCCAGAAAAGAAAAGCCACTCAGCTTCAACCCTTCTTCATTACCATGGTCTTGTCCATCTCCAGTGACGGTCAGTGGTGATGTTAGCAAGGGCAAAGGATATTTGGAACAAAGGGAAGCTGTTGAGATTTATAGCTTTTCTTGCATTTAGGACTTCACAAAGCACTTTCCTTGTATGTTTGTGTAACACCAGATAAACTGATACATATATATATATTATATATATATATATATTCCAGACTGAGAGAAATGGGTTCCATAGTCTCTGCTGTCATGCACCATTAGTGTCCCTGCTTCTTTCAATTAGCATAGATAATTGAAAATTTGCTATGGTTAGTTTTGCATAATGTTTTTCTTAATGCGGGGAGCTTAGCTACATTGTTTAATTGAACTGTGTTGTTCTGTTCATTCATTCACTCACCCATTCTTTCATTCATTCAGAAAGTTTTTATGGAGCACTCTTGCTATGCACAATCTCTTAGAGAGTTACAATCTGATGGGTGTGAGACTGATAAGAACATGGATACCATCTTTTCAGAGAATGTTAAAAAATGCTTGAGTGATAAATGATAAATTGTTTAATGGTGGTAAACATATTTTTAATTGAATTAAATCAGGGTGGGAGATTGATGGAAGGCTGGGATTCAATTGACAGCGTGGAGTAGTGTATTCTAAGAGGAGGCATGTGTAGGAGGAATGATTTGTGAAATATGAGGTTGGAAAGAAAGACAAGAGAGCTTTAATCACCAGTTGACTGAGGTAAGTTATCAGTTTTTCACTCTGATAACTTTAGGATGACTGTTCCTATTACCAAGTGATGACCTGAGATGTAGCGAGAAAGAAACCTTTATTTCATAGTGACACCCTCCCCCCTGAGTTCCACTACAGTACACATCTCCTGCCAGCAAGCATCCCCAGGGCTCTAACCAACTACAACCTCCTCTATTTTCCAGGTCAAGTCCCTGCTAGTGTTGATTTTCGGACTTGCCCTCCTGAGGGAAGTGGCAGCCCGGAAAATCCCCAAAGCAGGGGTTACTGCCCTCCAGAAGCCTGGGAATTGCCCTCCTCTGGAGGATAACAGTGTGAGAGTTGACATTCGCATCTTCAATCAAAACCAGGGCCTCCAAGTCTCACATGACTTCCAGAACCGCTCCACTAGTCCATGGGATTACAAGTAAGTCAAGGGAGAGAGATCTACACATTCCTTTGACAAACAGGTCAAATTACTTTATATTGTAAAGCTCAGCTTTCTGAATGCTGGGATTATGCATGGGATTATGGCCCACCATGTCTAGATTCACATTCATTCTTTCTGCGATGGGGCCTTACTCTATCGCTCAGTTTAAGGATCTACTCAGATTAGACATCACTCTTTGGTGAGTGAAGGTAAGAGGAATGTGGAAGAAAGGCCAGTTTGGGAACTGAATGCCAGGTGCATAGAATACAGCCAGGGTATAGTCTGGTGATTTTTCTGTCCCAAGATATAGGCCCTGGGAACACTTAGCACACACATATGCTCTCCAAATACATGCAGAAAAACAGATTCCAGGGACAATGCTGTGCTTTGGGGCTGCTGCATAGTTCTGTTCAAGAGATGGCTGTGCACTGTGAGAGACGCTTTGCTGCCTTCTTTTCGAGGGAGAAACTGAGAGACATTTTGGATTCACAGACCTCTAGGGCTTTGGTTTTCCTTCCAAGAAGTAAGTTTTACACATTGTATATTGGGAGACCTACTATGAATGTTTAATCTCTACTTAAAGAATGAGTAATGATTATAATATTAATACAAATAAAATCAAGATCAAACATTAGCCAAACCCTAACATTATTATTGGGGTATATTATATGCATTCATATCACTGAAAATCCTCATAAGACTCTATGAGGGAATGATATGTGAGAATCCCCATTCTGTAGTTGAGACACCCAAGGCTTAATTATTCAGCTGCTGCAGTTGAGGCTATCAATCCAGGCTGCCTGCTTCCACAGCCTGTGCTGCAGCCCTGTGTGACTCAGAACTGCCCCCTAGAGGTGAACACCCAGTGCTGCTGGCCCTTCCTCGCTTCCTGTCTTCTCCCAGGTCTCACTTTGCTGCTTTGCTTGTTCCTCCTGTAGCATCACCCGAGACCCCCACCGCTTCCCCTCGGAGATTGCGGAAGCCCAGTGCAGACACTCGGGCTGCATCAACGCCCAGGGGCAGGAGGACAGCTCCATGAACTCCGTTGCCATCCAGCAAGAAATCCTGGTTCTTCGGAGGGAGTCCCAGGGCTGCTCTCATTCTTTCCGGTTGGAGAAGATGCGGGTGACCGTTGGCTGCACCTGTGTCACTCCCATCGTCCACCGGAAAAGCTGAGGGCGTGGCTCTCCAGTGGTCTGCAAACGTCCGGATTTCTCAAACTTCTGTATTAGATATAGTGTTAACTTTCTGGCATGCTTTCAGAATTATGACCAGCCCTGTTGTGTTTCAATGTCTCAAACGCTGAAAGTGAATGGAGGAGAATTAAGTAAGGTGCCCTTGGTCCACTCTCCTTGTGTTGTGTGATATCACCTCCTTGTCAAGCTCTCACTCTGATCAGTATTATCCCTGTGGAATGCTGTGAAATGGGTCTGTTTCCGGTGGAAATGCAGAAAACAATCAGAATGTATGGGAGGGCCTGTGTAGCAGAGGGTGGGCTGGCAAGCGCGGGGATAAGCATCTGGTACATGAATCTATAGAAAACATTTGTTACATATAAATGAGGTTGTCCTGAACTAGATATTTATATTCATAAAGGAACTGTCCGTATATTTATGACCTATTGATTATATAAAGTGTTAGCAGAAAGTTAATATATTCATTAATTATGTAATAAAATGTTGTCAATTAAAAATATTTAAAGTATTTGTTTCTAGTTTCGGCTTGCATCCCAGGACCTTAGAGCCCTAAAGATTTTGAAATTCTATAGACTTGTCATTTGTTTTTCATACTTCCCCATCAGAGCATTGGTGATAGAGTTATTGTGATCAACGGTAACTGAGGGTCCGTTACGTGGAGAGTTAAGGGAAATGATACAAATAAAAGTCAAGAGCCTGGGCAACATGTCACCAGTCCACCATTGGACCATATTGTTGCACAAAGCAAACATTTACTGGCCGTTGCGCTACTTTACTGGAGGTACAAAGTAAGAGATGCAGGTGGTGTGGCCACAGTGTTGTCAACAGCCACTCCCAGAGCCCTGTTGTTAGGGTCATGGGCCCCTTCACATCCATTTCCCTATGACTTTTGAGTCCTTTGGGGTCACCAAGAATCTTTTGTTAATCCCTTACGCTACTTGAGGATACACAAGCTTGAGTATTCCAGCCTCTGGGGAAACTCACAAGTCTCCTTGTGCCTTCCCAGTCTGGATATACCATATCACATCTCTTCTTCATGGATATCATGCCCCCAGCTCTGGGCACGTCTGCACTGCTGTCACGTTCCAGGTGCCAAAAAAGAAGTGGAATCTAAGGTCTCTTATACACCTCTTCATCTGAACCTTGGATTTGGGACAGGCAGGTGGCAGGAGCCTGGGTCCCATTTCTAACTCAAACATGATCTGTTGGTAGACAGGATGGTTGAACAGGCTCTCTTATTCACAAATGCATGGTCAAAGGAACCCAGCTGCAGACAACCTGTGTGGTTCATTCTGTGTGCTGGATTACAGGAGTGTCAAAAGCCTGGCTACATTTCCCATGATAACTTCAGAGATACCAAAAGGGAGGGTCTGAATTCTAAGGGTCATTTGAAGGCCAGAGAGAAGACAGTTCCTCGTGGTAGACTCACATTATCAGGGCCAGATGGACCCTTATAGACTCCTGGTCTACTTTCCTAATTTGTGAATGTGGTCTGGAGGAATTAGCTGACTTGTTTGTGGCCACTGAAGTAGTTAGTTACTGGCAGAAAAAGATTCACTGACTCCAAGTTCAAGACTTTTTCATATTGGCTTTCTGGCGGTATCATAGTATGTTCAGTAAGACTCTGTTTCACTTATCTCTCTGTATGGCCTACAGTTGGCCTTGGGAGAGGGAACAAAAGTACCTCCATACCTTACATCTCCAAACACATTGCACACAGAGCTCTGGAGGTTGGGCAAGCTTGCTGTGTTAGCTTGTGCTGAGGGCTGGCTGTTGTTAGGAAACTGTACATCCTCTTCTGCTCACGAGGTGGCACACTGCATCCATGTGTTCTCAAATTCTTTAGCAAAGATTGAAAAGAAATAAATGGCTGCTTTATGGAGCATCTGTTTACTTAGGTGATGTGAGATACTGCTGAACAGGGTGAACAGACTTTAGTCCTCAGCTCTGCTGAGCTTTCTGAGATACAGAAGTCCCTTGTTTTGCCTGGAGATATGTACTAAGTTGAATGATTCAGGTTTTCAAATATGCTTCCATCATAATGTGTGGAGAGAGGAGTTTTCCATGCAGAAAGTTAAAAGTAGGTATGTCTTCCCTCCCTTCATTTCCCACTCTTCTCTTCCCCTACCCTTTCTTTCCCTTTCCTTTCCCTCCCCTGCTCTTTTCTTGATCTCCCCCCTCCTTTCTTAGTAAGAGGAGGGGATGGAAAAATGCATTTAGTGTGTAGATGGTTCTTGGCTTTCCTATTTTTGGTTAAAGGCCATCTAGTCCATTTTAGACTCATCTTTCTTGCATGCTAGGTATATGAGGTGATAGTATTTATCTTAATGAACTGTGTGTAAAGCAATAAAATTACAAATCATTTAACACAACATCCAGGAAATAGTAGGCCTTGCTGATGGCCATCATTCCAAGAAGCTCAGCACTCCTGTTTCCTGTTTTTTCTGGTCCAAGGAAACACACAACCAATTTTAGTACTTAGCCTAATAGGTAAGAGGCTTCCATTTATGAAAAACGGATGAAACTATAGATTCAATATGTCAAAAAGAACAGCGAAAGAATCCCACAGATAGGAGGTGGAGGCAGGAGGATCAGGACTCCAAGGCCAACCTTGACTACTTGGTGTGTTTGAGACCAGCCAGGACTACAGGAGACCATATCTTAAAAGACTTTGTCTTGGGGCTAGAGAGATGGCTCAGGTTAAGACCTCTTACTGCTCTTGCAGAAGAATGGAGTTAGGTTCCCAGCATATGCATGGTGATTCAACCAAGTCATGCCCCCTTCTGGCCTCTGAAGGCACCAGACATGCATATAGTCCACATCCATCTGTACAAGCAAAGCACTCACACACATAAAATTGAATAAATCTTATCCCAGCACCCACATGGCAGCTAACAACAGCCTGTAACTCCAGTTCCAGGGGATCCGACAGCCTCTTCTGTCCTCCAAGGGCATTGCACGACATGAGTGCACTTGTATACATACAGGCGTAACACCCATACACAAAAAATAAAAATAATAAATAAAATATTTAAAAAATATTCAGTCCTGAGAGTGGAGAGATGGCTCAGTGGTTAAGAGCACTGGCTGCTCTTGCAGAAGACTTAAATTAGGTTCCAAGCACCCACATGACAGCTAACGACTGTCTGTAACTCCATTTCCAGGGGCTCTGACACCCTCTTCTGACCTCCTTAGGCATTTCATGACTCAGGTGCACTTACATACATGCAGGCAATACACTCATACACATAAAATAAAATAATATTTCAAAAATTCAATCCCCTAAACCAAAATACATGTCCTTAGAAATATTCAGTTAATGAATAAAATTAGGCAAAAAAGTCTTAAAAACAACAAACAACTCCCCAACCTTGTTACCCCAAACCCAAATAGCCATTGTGATCTACTCCACTGGTACAGTTTGGAAAAAAAGCATTTTTAGTTCAGTACATTTCAGGAGTGTGTTCTAGTTTGCTTTCAATTGCTATGACCAAATACTTGGACAAATACCAACTTGGGGAGGAAAGGGTTTATTTGGCTTACATCTCCCAGGTCACAGTTCATTACTGAGGGAGCCCAAGGTAGGAACTCAGGGCAGGAACTTGAACACAGGAGCTGAAGTACAGGCCATAGAGGAACATTGCTTACTGGCTTGCTCCCCTGGCCCGGGTTCAACCTGCTTTCTTATATGATACAGGACCACCTGCCCAGGGGCGACACCACCCACAGTGGGCTGGGCCCTCCCACATCACTCAATAATCAAGACATTTCCCTACAGACATGTCCACAGTGTCCAATGGAGGTAATTCCCCAATTGAGGCTCCTTCTACTCAGGTGTGTCAAGTTGACAACCAAAGCTCTTCAGCACAGAGTGATATGTGAACAGCTGGATAAATGCAGAAATTGTGATGTTATTATTAGTAAGTACTGAGTTGGAGAGTTTGGTTCAGTAGTGAAGAAAAGTACATTCTAAAACAGAGTAAAACAGAGAATGACCATGATTGGTGCATTAATATGTGTTTAACTGAAAAATATCAGTCTTGTCTCTTAAACTGTGCAAATGTCTTAGTAATATCAGAAATCACAGCATGATTGCTAAGAGCAAGGATGCTGGGTTAAAATGTGAATTCTGGAACTTACTATTCTGTGCTTATTACTAATGATGAACAAGTTATCTAGACTTTCTTCGCTTGACTTTCTTCATTTGTAAAATGGACATGTGATCAAGTGCCTAGTTCTTAAAGTTTTTAAGAGGATAGAACCAGGTGATTAATTACGGTGTTTAAGAGAGTACTTGGTGAAGTAACTGCATTATCTAAAAAGAGAAAAATCATCTGTTATGTCATCTCAGTAACATTCCACTTTTGATGTTTTGTGTTCTAGCTTGTTCATTTATAAGACTATAACTGACAAATATGCAGTCTGTATTTGGCAACTATGAATTTACTATTATATTTCATATATTTCTCATAGAGTATTCATATTGATTTTTATTAGCTACATAGTTTTTTCAAGTTGATGAACTTGACTTTATTTAGTTACTACTTTATCTAAGGACCTTTAATGCCTCCCACTTAAAAATTAGACAAATTCATTAAAAATGGTTTGTATTTTGAAGTTGTAACCATTCATGATTAGTCACTGTATTTAGTTTACTTTTGGTTTATCAAAAAAGACACTTTTCTTCCCCCCTAAAAAGAATGAAACTTTAAACTGTCAATGTTTAAAGAAAGGATAAGGGACTGGAGAGATGGCTTAGTGGTTAAGAGCGCTATCTGCGCTTGCAAAGAACCTAGGGTGGGTTCCCAGCACCCACATTGCAGCTAACAACTGTCTGTAACTCCAGTGGCAGGAGATTCAATGCCCTCTTCTGTCCTTCATGGGAATTGCATGACATGGGTGTACTTACATACATGCAGGCAAGGCACTCATACACATAAAATTAAAAAAATATATAGCTATATAATACAGGTGGAAGAG